AGTAGAGTAGTTGATACATATATTACTTCTACTATTATTTTACCGAACTATACATGAGATTTTCACATCATATCTCTAATAACAGTCCAAATCTAGCGAAGAATCCAAGATTTAGAATCATTGTATTCCGTTTGATCTTTTTGTATATATATGCTAGTTATGTTCTCTTACACATACATAATTTGAGCTAAACTTCTATCCAACGTTTTTTATAGTAATAGGTATGAAATGTGTTGTCAGAAATCTCAGCTTTTCAATGGATTTATGGGGATCCCCATGCCCATGGAAAAAAAACGTGTCTCTTATAGCATAAACTTATCGAGTCTAATTTAAATATTCATCTCAATCTATATATATACATCATACATATATTATTATTTTTTTCAAAATTCTTGTTTCTGAATCAGTGGATAACAAAATCTGGAAATTCACTACAAGCTGAACAAATCAAGCACTAACATTGTCATATATATAAAAGAAATTTATCATGAGAATCTCAAGATATAGCATACAACAGATATTCAAAGGAAGGAGAAGACTGTTCAACCGTTTGTCACAACAATCTCAAGATACTACATACAACAGATATTCAAGGGAAGGAGAAGCATTTTTCAACTTTTATCACAGTAACAACATACGTAATACTACATCTAGCTAACATGGAGAATAGGGAAGCATTGTCTTGATTCGTGCAGTTGGCAGAGGTTGGATAAATTGTTCTCTAACATCAGCTTTTCACCTCCTGAAATAGCAAAAGTACATCACAGTTAATAAAGCACCTTCGTGATATTTCACATGACAACTAAAAACAGTTTATATTCAAACAACAATGAAAACCAGCAAAAACAAATAGTACCCAAGTTGCCCGCACTGGGATGCAAGTGCTTGATAAGGATGAAGATCTAGAAGTCGGATCCTTCCTGATTTTTGCAGATTGAACAACAACGGTGTGTGTTATCTTTGCTATCAAATAATGGCATGGATGAGCCTTTTCTCAAATGGAAATGGCACAGACACTACAACAAAAATGATCCTTAGTGGCAACTAATTAACGACAATAGCTTAATTGCCACTAAAGATGTATTTTTAGAGCTAATCAGCACTCTTTGTATATGTCCCTAAAGTCTTTAGCAACATTGGATTTAATGACACTAAACTAATGCCGGTAAAGACTCTTTATTAATGTGTGTATATTTATTGCCGCTAAAATTTATTTTTGTTGTAGTGAGATGAGCCAAACTTTTAACGGATTGCATAAATGAGCCTTTTCTCAAAGTTCGATGACATATTTGAGCCTTTTCTCATATATTTATTGGTTTGTATATGACAAGTTGATATTTTACCACCTTATCACTTCTTTAATTTTAAATGTTTTTCATGTTTAATTGAGAAAACAATGCATCTAATATCGTTTACTGTCAATATACATGTTAATGTGATGGGGAAGAAATCAAGTGAAAAAGAAGGCAAAAAGGAGCTAAAATGGAAGAAGTTGAAAACTGGCAAAAAATGGTCTTTGTGATCTTGAAAGTCAACCAGATCAACTCTTCTTCGCAATCGTGAAGCATCTGCCGCGATCACGGGTCATACAAAGTCAACATATCGCGATTGCAAAGCCTTTAGGACAAACAGCTCTAATACTAGCTAGTTGGCTTATATAAAGGAACTTTGCCAGCTTAGAGAAAAATTCTCAAACAAAGGCACAAGAAATTTACCAACAAGTATACTATTGAATGATCATTTTTGAAGTTTCTTCCCTTTTATGCTCGAAACTCATTACAAGCTGAAAAAATCAAACACTAACATTTTCATATATATATATATATATGAAGGGATTTTACGCGTAGGAGAAGCATGTTCAACCTTTTGTCGCGACAATTTCAAGATACTACATACAAATCTGTTTTAACATTTCTATATGGCTTCTGGATTAAAGGCTAACTTAAGGAAATATTGAGCTTACTGTGGAGAACTGCCTTTCAACTACGTAGGAGTCGACTTTGATCCAAAACTGTTTCGGTTCATGAGAAACCTTTATGATTGGAATGGCTTTCGAAGTCTGATTTTTGGTCAAATAAAAAGATGATGGTCCAAACCGATAACAGCCTGACATTTCTAGTGGTGAGTCGGGAGTGTGCGCGAACTGGTCTTTGACAGCATCAGACTAACTGTCATGTAATGTGAGACAGTGAGAGCGCTGCTCTGTTAAGCCAGCCAATGAGGGGGGCGAGTTACCCCATCAACTCCCACAGCTTACTGCCATGTCAAAGTACTATTATTATTTATTTATTAGTGTCGGAATAACAATACTTCATACTATTACCAAGAACCGCTTATTATTATAAACCCAAACCAACGCACTATTTGTGTCAAGGGCTGAAGATTTGGTTTGTCCCGATCATCTTATTGCTCCCACTTGGGTCACAAGCTCACGCCACTAAGCTCAGCGATATACAGTGTCTGTTGAGGTCTTATAAAATATATGTATACGTCTTCTGCCACCGGTGTGGGACAAGACGCAAGGTTTTAGCATATGCGATGATATGCCTAGCAAGCAAATGATTTTTCCATATATGCTCATCTCCAAAGTGAGTTGAATAAATACATTAATTTTCTAACTTTTTCTGTTATTGTAAAACGAGGACAAACAGCTCGAAAACTAGAACCTTATTGTACGACTCTTATATACTATTTTTTTAAAAGAAATATCAAAAAATTAACCAAATTGTACTGATATGTCTAAATGGACTTAAGCAAGAAAAGAGCTTCAAATTCCATCTGAGATGTACTAAGCTGGGAATTACTCACATTTATAAAAGAAATTTATCGCGATAGTCTCAAGATACAGCATACAACAGATATTCAAAGGAAGGAGAAAATTGTTCAACCCTTTGTTACAACAATCTCAAGATACTACATATAACAGATATTCAAGGGAAGGAGAAGCTTTTTTCAACTTTTATCGCAGCGACAACATAGGTAATACTACATTCAGCAAACATGGAGAATAGGGAAGCATCGTATTGATTCGTGCAGAGGATGGAATAATTTCTCTTCAACATCAACTTTCCACCTTCGGAAATATCAAAAGTACATAACAATTAACAAAGCACCTTCTTGATATTTCACATGATGACTAGTAAAAACAGTTTATATGTGAGCAACAAGGAAAACCAAAAAAACCAAATAGTACCCAAGTTGCCCGCGCTAGGGTGCGAGTGTTCGATAAGGATGAAGATCTAGAAGTCGGATCCATCCTGATCTAAATTTTAAGATTGGGGGGTATGGATCCAAGTATGAACATGGGTAACAATACAAAATAAAATAACCGAAAATTGATATTGGTATAAATATTATAAAAAATAACCGATTAAACTGAACAATTGACAAATAAAAAGGTGATGGTCCAGACTAATATCTGCTTGACATATCTAGCGAGGATTTGTGATCTTGCGAGAGAGCTGCTCAGTTAAGCCAGCCAATGATGGGAGAGTTACCCCATCTACACCTACTTAGGTACTCCATTTTGACACCTACTTAGGTACTCCATGACAATAGAAAACAGGTAAGGAGACATGAGATCTCCTCATCTATGTCTCTTAGCAGCTGGAAAGGGATAGGAGCTTGTGCTTCACAGATGATGCTGCAAATCACCTTCGGTAATCAATTACATCATTTTTTATCACGCATCAAGATTGACTGTGGCCAGTGGTGTTATTCTATTGAATATCTGTTGTATGTTGTATCTTGAGACAAAAGGTTGAACAAGCTTCTCCTATGCGTAAATTTCTTTCATATATGTGACATTGTTAGTGCTTGATATGTTTCCAGTTGATACATTCTTTAAAAGGAAGAAACTTGAAGAATGATTATTCAGTAGTATACTTGTGGTGTTTTGTTTGAGAATTTTTCTCTAAGCTGACAAAATTCCTATATATAAGGTTCTAGTTTTCGAGCTGTTTGTCCTCGTTTTACAATAACAGAGAAGTTAGAAAATTAATGTATTTATTCAACTCACTTTGGAAATGAGCATATATGGAAAAAGCATTTGCTTGCTAGGCATATCATCGCATATGCTAAAACCTTAGTGCATCTTGTCCCACACCGGTGACAGAAGACGTATACATATATTTTATAAGAATTCAACAGACACTGTATATCGCTGAGCTCAGTAACATGAGCTTGTAACCCAAGTGGGAGCAATAAGATGATCGGGACAAACCAAATCTTCAGCCTTTGACACAAATAGTGCGTTGGTTTGGGTTTATAATTAATAATAAGCGGTTCGTGGTAATAGTATGAAGTATTATTATTCCAACACTAGTAAATAAATAATAATAGTACTTTGACATGGCAGTAAGCAGTGGGAGTTGATGGGGTAACTCGCCCCTCATTGGCTGGCTTAACAGAGCAGCGCTCTAACTGTGTCACATTACATGACAGCTAGTCTGATGCTGTCAAAGACCAGTTCGCACACACTCCCGACTCACCACGAGAAATGTCAGGCAGTTATCGGTTTGGACCATCATCTTTTATTTGACCAAAAATTAGACTTCGAAATTCATTCCAATCATATAGGTTTCTCATGAACCAAAACAGTTTTGGATCAGAGTCGACTCCTACGTACTTGAAAGGCAGTTCTCCACAGTAATACCCTGTGCAAACATCTAGTTTTCCGGCTCATTATGTTCTCATTTCATTGCAGTTGTTGTCAGTTGAGAAGCTATGGGCCAAAGGATTATGTACAAGTACCTACGAAGCATCTTGGCTATCTAAAACATGGGACTCCAAAGTTTGCTGCATCAGTGTAGTTATCTTTCACTTATTGATGTCCTTTGTGCTTAGTAATCTTTCAAAGTGCTGTATTAATGGATTATCGTGATCTTTACAGGTTGAGGATTTCACTGATTGGTCTCAAAATGCTGCAAGAGCTTTTGGGAAAGCATAAGTGATACGCATATACAAGTGTATCCAGCGTAATGGCGAATACATTTCTGCTTTTATGGATGGCCTTGTCGAAATACCCACATTAAAATATCAGTTGTTTGGACGTGCTGCTCCCTTTCAAGACAGTTCTGAGACAAGGAACATTATAAAAGATGGAAATACAACCACTCTTCCTTGTACGGATATCAAGAAGCAGGATCAAAGTAAAGAAAGCCAGAAAGGATGTCACGCCCCGAGCCTACACCCTGGGCGGGACCGGCACCTGGAGACCATTGCTGGCCCCAGGCAAACCCTTGGCCTGGCTTTCTTAACTCAGCGGAAACCTAACTCAACAGAATAACTCAACGTCATACAAAGACATGAACAACTTAACTAATAAAATATGGCCCAAAGGGCAACTCGAGCCTCAAAATAGAATATTTACATATATATATATATATACATATACATGGATGAGAGACTCAAAAATAACTGACTGACTGACTGTCTGACTGTCAATTGAAGCCTCTAATATACTGAGATGGATGTGGGGACAGACCCCGCAACATCCTAATAGAACAGAGCAAAGTACACAAAATAATTGAGTCCTCCGGAACGCAAGGAGGCTCACCACAGACTCTGGAGTGCTCAGCTGGATCAACGACGTGCAGGATGCTGATCCGGGGTACCTGTATCTGCATCATAAGACGATGCAGGCCAACTGGCATCAGTACATGGAATGTACGAATATGTGAGCTGGAAAAGCGGAACCACAACTTAAGCTTGAAAGGAGAACAAGAGATCACTTACCTTGACTCTGAACGACTCATATACATAACTGGACTCAAAGTAAAGCAATAAGACACGAGCCACACATATAAAGCTTGTAAAAGAATGTAAACGACTTAGATCGTTAAGGATAAAATGACAACAAACTCCACTTTTCTTTTATAAATATAATACAGCTTTTGTGGGAGGTTCTTTAACCGACAATCACCACTACGAGCCTTAGTGATGATACAACGTTTTACCTCACGTTGCCAAAGGACCATCCTATACCTTGCCATCGATATAGGACCTTACTTTTGCTTAGTGGATCCACTAGCCTAATCTTACGTGATCATCTAAAAAGAATGATACGACAAGTCCCATGTTGGCGCATGGTTCTTATGGGGAGTTGAGTTAATATGAACTCGTGTCCCCAATTCGGTGCTCAATACTACTCCCAAAAATACTTTGGCTCATGCTTTTAAAATAACTTCTTTCTTTGATTGAGATAATTACTCAAAACTTTAGCCCAAAGGCTCCTTTGGGGAAAGAAAACATGATTCCCTTCTTATTCAAATATAATAGCATTTACAACCTCCTTTGGGAATACTTAGTTCCCTAATAGCTTTCTCTTTTTCTTTTTTTTTTAAAAAGAGAACTCAACTTTAAACTCATGACTTAGCTTGAAACTAAGACTCTTACTCGACTTGAAACTTCACTTGACTTGGAACTATCTTTCCTTGAATCGGAATTATGAATTCAAGGTGTTCGATCACATGTTATGGAAGGATTCTTGAACGCTTAGACGCACTTTGGAACGTCGAAAACAACTATAAAACATAGGTGAATTACTTTGGAACATGCATGAGAAAGTGAGAAAAGAAGAGGGGAAACTTGGCTAAGACTTCAGATTTCTGGTGACACAGATAGGACTTACGGACGCCATCGACGGACCGTAGATGGACTTACGGTCCGTACTGCAGGTCCGTAGATTGCGTCAGAGATTTTCCCCAGAATTCATTTAAGAAAAAGACTAAGTGTTGACCTACGGTCCTGACTTACGGTCCGTAGGTCAGGCCACGGACCGTAGGTCGTGACCGTAGATCGATGCCCCAAAAACCAACTTCTGTTCCGATTGACGGTTGACCAGTACGGACCGTCGATCGATCTACGGTCCGTAGGTCAGTCCCGTAGATGGGGATCGACAGCCCAGAAATTTATGCAAATCGATGGTGGATCAATCCTTTAAAGGGTCATAGCTCTTAGAATCATAATCCCCTCAACATACAATAGGTTTCAACTTAATGCACAACCCAATCAAGCCTCACAACGAACAATAACTTCAACAACCTCAACAACAATATCAACAACAACTAACAACTTCGACACTTCAACAACAATTCCCAATCTTTTCTCAAAGCATAGAATAAACTTGGTGTGTGTGAGGGAAAGGATCAACCCACACGAAAAACTCACATACCTTGGTAGGGATCACCCCCGACGAAAATCCACAATGGTCTTGACAAATCTCCTCTTTCTTCTCTTCTTCTTCTTCTCCTTCTTCTCTTCTTCAATCTCAAGAACCCTAACTCTTTCTCTTTCAAAAAAAATGGGACAAAATGATCCAAAGATCATCCTAATACAACAATATGAGCTCAAAAGAATTGGCTAGGGAAAAGACTAAAATGCCCTTAATGATTCCCGGACGGATTTCCTTGTCAACTGCCCAACTTTCAAAGGTCATAACTCCCTCATACGAACTCGAAATCGAGCAAAATCGGTGGCGTTGGAAAGGTCGTTCCACGAACTTTGCAACCATAACTGGAATTCCACCTAACTCATCCTGAGCTAGAATTTATGGCTGTTCAAAGTTGGCCAAAATTTCACATTTTCCATACTTAGCCAAAATTTCCAAAACTTTAAATTCTTTCCAAAAATGAAAATTTCCAATTCTAAGCCTCTTCAATTATTTCATATTGCTGGATGTTACAATATCTCCCCCTTGGGAACATTCGTCCTCGAATGAGGTTGCTCTTACAAAACTAAGGGTGTAACATCTAACTCAAACACTCAACAAGCAATTATGCAAACAACAACAACTACAACAACAACGACAACATGCCCATAATATTTTAAAGAGCACTAAGAAGGAAATTAATACCTTAATCCGCATTCCCTCCGGATTCAAAAAGATGCGGATATCTCTTCTTCATGTCCTCTTCGGCTTCCCAAGTGGCTTCCTCAACAAATTGGTTCCTCCAAAGGACCTTGACTGACGCCACATCTTTCGTTCTCAACCTACGAACTTGGCGATCTAAAATCTGAACCGGCACTTCCTCATAAGATAAGTTATCCTTGATCTTAACACTTTCAGTCGGTAGGATCAATGAAGGATCACCTATGCACTTTTTCAACATAGAGATGTGAAATACCGGATGAACCGCTGCTAGCTCTTGGGATAACTCCAACTCATAAGCAACATTGCCAATCCTCTTGGCTATGCGGTAAGGTCCAATATACCGGGGACTGAGTTTCCCCTTCTTACCGAACCTCATAACACCTTTCATGGGTGAAACCTTCAAATATACCCAATCGTCTACTTCAAACTCTAATGCCCTTCTCCTAACATCAGTGTAGGATTTCTGACGACTCTGTGCCATCTTCAACCTCTCTTGAATCACTTTCACCTTCTCCATAGCTTGGTGAACTAAATCTGGTCCTATCAACTGTGCTTCACCGACTTCAAACCATCCAATAGGAGATCTACATCTTCTCCCATAAAGAGCTTCATATGGAGCCATCTGGATGCTAGAGTGATAACTGTTGTTGTAGGCAAATTCAATTAGAGGTAGGTGATCATCCCAACTACCTTTGAAATCGATCACACAAGCCCTCAACATATCCTCTAAGGTCTGAATAGTGCGTTCTGCTTGCCCATCAGTCTGAGGATGAAAGGCAGTACTTAAGTTCACTTTCGAACCCAAGCCTTTCTGAAAGGATTTCCAGAACTGTGCAGTAAACTGTGCACCTCTATCTGAAATAATGGAGATTGGGACTCCATGAAGTCTCACTATCTCTTGAACGTACAACTTGGCATAGTCTTCGGCTGTATTGGTAGTCTTTACCGGTAGAAAATGAGCTGACTTTGTCATTCTGTCGACAATCACCCAAATAGAATCATGTTGTCTGCGAGATCTTGGCAACCCTGTGATGAAATCCATATTGACCATCTCCCACTTCCACTCTGGAAGTTCTATCCTCTGGGCCAAACCACCAGGCCTTTGGTGTTCAACTTTCACTTGTTGGCAATTTGGACACTTAGCAACAAACTCAGCAATGCCCTTTTTCATGCCATTCCACCAATAAACTTCACGCAAATCACGATACATCTTGGTGGAACCTGGATGAACGGAATATCTGGAGTTATGAGCTTCCTCCATAATCTTCTCTTGGAGTCCACCTACCATAGGTAAACACAATCTACCTTGATATCTCAATACACCGTCTCCCCCTTGTTCAAAAGCTAATACTCTTTGCTTCTGAACATTTGCCTTCAACTCAAGCAAAATGGGATCTTGATCTTGCTTTTCTTTCACTTCTGACATTAATGATGACTCGGCCTTGCTCGTCACCGCTATTCCTCCTTCTGCAGAATCTGTAAATCTGACTCCCAGGCATGCCAGTCTGTGCACATCTTTTGCTAACTCTCTCCTTCCTTCTTCAATATGGGTGGTGCTACCCATAGACAGCCTGCTCAAAGAATCAACAACAACATTGGCCTTACCTGGGTGGTAAAGAATACTCAGGTCATAATCCTTGAGTAACTCTAACCACCTCCTCTGTCTGAGATTAAGCTCTTTCTGAGTAAGCACATATTGAAGGCTTTTGTGATCAGTGAATATGTCGACATGCACACCATACAAGTAGTGACGCCATAACTTCAAAGCAAATACTACAGCAGCTAGCTCTAAGTCATGGGTTGGGTAGTTCTTCTCATGAACCTTCAACTGTCTGGAGGCATAAGCGATAATTTTGTCATTCTGCATTAAGACACAACCCAAACCAACTCTAGATGCATCACAATACACCATAAAACCTTGAGTACCTTCTGGTAGCGTCAAAACTGGAGCTATAATCAATCTCTTCTTCAATTCCTGAAAGCTTTTCTCACAAGCTTCAGACCATTGAAATTTCGCGGCCTTCTGAGTCAACTTTGTCAAAGGAGATGCAATAGACGAGAACCCCTCAACAAACCTTCTATAATAACCAGCTAAACCCAAGAAACTCCTAATTTCAGTTGGAGATGTGGGTCTAGGCCAATTCTGCACTGCCTCAATTTTCCGAGTATCAACTTTAATTCCATCACCGGACACAATATGACCTAGGAACGCCACAGACTTAAGCCAAAACTCACACTTAGAGAACTTGGCATACAACTCCTTGTCTTTCAAAGTCTGAAGAACTATTCTATGATGGTTAGCATGATCTTCTTCATTCCTTGAATAGATTAGTATGTCATCAATAAAGATAATAACAAACATATCTAAATAAGGTTTGAAGACTCTATTCATCAGGTCCATGAAAGCAGCCGGCGCATTGGTCAAACCAAAAGACATGACTAAAAACTCATAATGACCGTATCTGGTTCTGAAAGCTGTCTTTGGAATATCACGTTCCCTTACTCTTAACTGGTGATAACCTAATCTGAGGTCAATCTTCGAAAAACAAGTGGCACCCTGAAGCTGATCGAAAAGATCATCAATCCTCGGAAGAGGGTACTTATTCTTGATGGTAACCTTATTCAACTGGCGGTAATCTATACACATCCTAAGGGAACCATCTTTCTTTCTCACAAACAAAACCGGAGCACCCCAAGGTGAGACACTCGGTCGAATGAAACCCTTCTCTAGAAGATCTTTCAACTGCTCTTTCAACTCTTTCAACTTTGCCGGTGCCATTCTATAAGGCGGAATAGAGATAGGACGAGTATCTGGAATGAGATCTATGCCGAAATCTATTTCTCTCTCGGGAGGAATTCCGGGTAGATCATCAGGAAAAACTTCTGGAAACTCTCTTACTATAGGAACTGACTGAAAATAAGGTATCTCAACATTAGAGTCATGAACTCGGACTAAGTGATAGATACAACCCTTTGAAACTAACTTTCTTGCCTTAAGGTACGAAATAAAACGACCCTTGGGCACTGCTGAACTACTACTCCACTCTAAGATTGGCTCACTCGGAAACTGAAACTTGACCACTCGAGTTCTACAATCTATCGATGCATAACAAGCATAAAGCCAATTCATACCTAGAATGACATCAAAATCTACCATATCTAACTCAATCAAATCAACCATGGTGCTCTTGTGATTGATAGAAACAGGACAATCACGATAAATTCTTTCAGCTAGTATAAATTCCCCAACCGGTGTAGAGACACAAAAGGGTTCACAAAGTCTTTCAGGAAGAACATCAAACTTATTCGCAACATAAGGAGTTACAAAAGATAAACTTGCTCCTGGATCTAACAAAGCATATACATCAAAGTAAAAAATATTGAGTTGTTTATACTTATACTAAACAACTTTTCACTCTCCAAATCCTACTCTTCTTTTTCTCGCGATATAAAATACCCGATGAGACTGAATTTAAAATTTCTAATTTTGTGCGATTTAGAAATGGAATAATGAGATCTTTCTATGTTTTTAGGATATTTATATATCTATCCCAAATATTTGTATTTACAATAATCCAACACCATATTCCTTAATCACTTTCTAGTCAACCAATATTTCCATTTTAAAGAACAACTGATTTCATTAAATCAACTTTGAATTCAGAATCGAGGTTGCTTTTGCAATTTTGTATAGTGCTTGGAGAGTATGTTTGTGAAATTTAACACAAATGATGAATCGGTGAAAATTATTGGAGGTGAAACTAATTCAAAAATTATTTTTAGATAAGAAATACCACAAGGGTATATATGACTGGGTGGTCAATAAAGTAGAATGAAAATCATGAGAAATCATGTTCATATTTCGGCCCTTTCACATAAGGGTATGACCTGGGGTTGATCAAGAAACTCATACCCAATCTCTTGATGAATCGAGTTACAACAATACAAATGCTAGTAAAAAGTAACAGGTACAATGTAAAATAGTTGATGTACAACAAAACTGATCAAACACCACAATTTAATTTTTTTTTATAACAAACACAAACCTACTCACATGCAAACAAATAACGATAAAAGTAAAGATAAGGCATAAAGAGATAGAGAGACTTATTGGACTTCTAACAACAATTGATGTGTGACTTTCATAATTTGAAAGATTAAAAGCTATTTCCATCCCAGAATTTCCTGATCCAATGACTACTACCTTTTTATTCTTATATTTTTCACCAGATCTATAATCACTTGAATGGATTATTTCGCCTTTGAAATTTTTTATTCCTACCATTTTTGGAATATAACCTTCGTTATTTTCTCTAGTAGCCAAAATCAAGAAATCACTAGCATACAATTCAATTTCTCCGCTAGTCAAATTTCTTGATTTGACATTCCATTTCTTTTCCCCATTGTTGTAAAAGGCCGATTCAACACAAGTTTGGAATTTTGGCTTGATGTTGAAATGCTCAACATACTCATCTAAGTATTGAATAAATTCTTTTTTGGGCATATACTTAGGTGATGAAGTTGCATGTGGCATAAACGGCAATGAACAAAAGTCCTTTGATAGATGCAAATGAAGTCTATCATAAGTCTTTTTCTTCCACAAATAAGCACAACAATCTTGTTTTTCTAAAACAACAGTGTTTATACCCACTTTGTTTAAACATGCTGAAACAACTATACCGAATGGTCCAACTCCAACCACAACAATGTCAATTTCTTCCTTTGTGAAATTAGCCATTGCAAAATTTTCAGGAAATTAAAGAGAAGTTCTTTCTTTGAGAATGTTGAAAGAAAATTGCAACAAGATTTCAAGAAAGGAATTTAAACAATGAGGTATCTATATATGGTCTTCAAACAAGGATAAAGATGATATTTATTATTTTTTTTCCTTTTTTAAAATTTAATAGAAAACAACAGTTACAAGTAAATGCAGAATTTTTATTTTTGAAACAAAATCTGAGTTTTTTCTCAATTCTTTGGTATGTATGAAAACATTTAATTGAAAGTTATCTTTAGCTTAAGCTAAAAAGTATCATATGTATTTTTCTGTAAATGAATTTTGCAGTTTTAAAAAGAGACAAATTACAAAAATTAAATTGAATTTGACTGAAGTTTATTGACTAGCTAATTTCAAAGTATATTTTTTTTTGTCCTTTTATCTGTGTCTTGGATTTTCAGATAAACACTCAACTAATTAAATTTTATTAGTTAATTTATATTAGCAAATTATTTTCTTTGTTAAAAAAATTAGAATTAAGAAGAAAGATGATTTTCTGATATATTAAATAGGAAAAAAACTTAAATATTCCATCAAATTTTGAGAAAAAGGCTCATCTATGCCATTCATTTGAGCTATTTCTCAAACGAAAATGACATATATGAGCCAAACTTTTAACGGATGACACAAATGAGCATTTTCTCAAAGTTTGATGACATATTTGAGTCTTTTCCCTTTTTATTTTAAACCAAATTTTTAAGAAATAAAAAGGTACTTATTTTAACCAATTCATTGACGAACCTCGCTAATATTGGCAAATATATTTTCCATCAAGTATCTTGAGGATCAAGTCGAATATGAGAATCTCGGGCAAAAATATTTACATATTGAAACTTTTATTGTGGTTGCATCAACTTTCATGATATACAATACAAAGGGTGGTTCACTCAGATATTCAAAGGTTATTAACCCTGATATATAGCTTGTCACGCCCCAAGCTACCCCCAAGACGCGGACACGGGACCTAGGACCACAAGTGATCCCAAGCTAACCCTACTGGCATGATCATGAGCATACTAAAGATAATAAACTGATGCGGAAGCTAATTCATAAATAAATCTGAAAAGATGGGGAATACCCATATACTATAACTGAATGTAGCGAATCTGAGAGTTTAATACAAAAGATATATCAAACTCAAATACTAAGCTGAATCTAACTATGTCTGAAATAAGCCTCTAAACTGACTAGAAATGTTGGGACATGCCCCAACTAGATCTAGCAAAAACTAAAACTAAAGACTAAAAATACTGAAAAGAAACTCATGACTATTGTCCCCGAAGAATGAGGACTCACCAACTGATTCTGCTGAACTGAAGATCGGGAATCGATCTAAGCGTGATCTGGATGCTGAGAACCTGAACCTACATCACGAGAAGATGTAGCGCACGTATGCGTCAGTACTTGAAAGGTACTGAGCATGCAGGATAGAGTAAAGCTGAAATAACATATAACTGAACAAAGCAATAAAGCAATGAAATAATCTGGACATGATATAGATACTGAATGCTGAGCTAACTGAATGCAATGACCAATTTATAACATGCTGAAACTGAATACTGAATATACTGATAAATGGTCAATGCAATAGAATCTGACTGAACTGTGGGAGCTACTAATAACCGACATAAAACCACATGAGCTAAATGTGGAGTCCGATGTATACGCCCCATCGAGAGGACCCAATATACCCTGCCAGAGGTATAGAGGCATGCTGGCGTGATCACTAAACTGATGTTGCCCACAGAGGGGACTTACACCTACGTGGCTCGTAGTTCTGGGACTATATGGGTACGCTGAAACCCTAGTCCAACTCGGTATTATGCTACTCCCAATAGATTAAATGGTTAACACATTATGACTGAGTTTTCTGTAAATACTGGATAGCTCGAACTGAACATGCAAACTGAGAATGCAACCATTAATCTGATAATGATGCATTCATAAACTGAGGCATGTAAAACTGAATACTGAAATATCTGACCTAGCATGTGTAATTCAAGAACTAAAGAAATACATAGCTAGGGTTCTGAAATTAATGCGATAAACTGAGCACTAACATGACAATCTGATTTGGAACATTTAAATAATTAATTCATGATGATCTGTTCAAATTCTAGAAACCCTAGGTCTGTTCATAATCATGGAATCAAGAATCTGACTGAATTCTAGGGACCTAATGGGCGAAAGGAACCCACTAGTGAAATCCCACATACCTGGTGACGAATTCCACGGAGAAATCTTTCGATTTTGGGGCTGGAACTGAAGAAACCTCGCTGCGTTCTTGAACTAGGGTTCTTGACCTTTTTCTCCTCTCTTGCTTCTAATTCTTCTAAGTTTGATTAATGATTTGACTTAGGTAAGTTCTAGTTATGTTTCTAGGCTTAAACTAATTAAAATCTCATGATTTAGGGTCTAAACGACGTATCTTAGGGGTTAAACGAAATAGGAAAAGACCAAAAGACCCCTGAATTAACTGCTGTCGGAGTGACCGACGGTTTGGACCTACGGGCCGTAGGTCAATCTACGGTCCGTAGATTGGGTCCGTAGTTCGAGTCTGCCCGACAGGGCTTCACTAAAATGGGCATAAATTTTTACTCGGAGGTCGGAATTTAGCAAACTCGGTGGCGTTGGAAAGATAATTCAATTATCTATCTAACCATAGGTCATGGGACACATAATTCATTTTGTGCTAAAAGTTATGACCATCTGAAGTTGACCCATCAGAATTTTCAGCTAACTGGCTGCTATCCTTCGATCTACGGTCAGACCTACGGACCGTGGATCGAACGACGGTCCGTGCTGGTCAACCGTAGTTCATGTTTGAGGCTGGGTAAAGGAGGTCTTGATCCACGGACACAGACCACGGACCGTGGTCTGATCTACGGACCGTGGGTCTGTCCGTGAGTCGAGACTTAACCAATTTTCTGAGCTGACTGGGGAGGGGTTGCAGTGGCGAACCACGGACCACCAGCACGGGCCGTGGTCTGACCTACGGTCCGTGGATGGTGACCGTAAGTTGTACCTGCAACTTCTCAAAATCTGCATTTTCGTCTGTTTCGAATACGGGGTGTTACATTATCTCCCCCTTGGGACCATTCGTCCTCGAATGAAGACTAATCTAGCTGAAATGTAGGGAAAGGGCTGCAATCCCTACCACTAAACACTGAGAACTGAATTTCTGACTGAACTGAGTTCCAAGAACATGCAAATACGCTGAAAATGCAAGTATAAACTGAAGAAACATGATTCTAAGACTGAATTTTCGCATGAATGACTGAAATACTGAAGAGGAACTATTACCTCAAGCTGGAATGGGATCGGAAGGAAAGAGGTGAGGATACTTGGACTTCATGGCTGCTTCTGCTTCCCAAGTAGCTCCCTCTACTGACTAGCTCCTCCACAAAACCTTGACTAAAGCGACTTCTTTATTTCTCAACCTTCTAACCTGACGATCGAGAATCTCAACTGGTACATCCTCATATGAAAGGCTATCTTTCACGGCCACACTCTCTAATGGTACTATGGATGCCGGATCACCCACACACTTCTTCAGAAGAGAAATGTGAAAGGCTGGGTGCACTGCTGCTAAGTCCGCTGGCAACTCTAACTCATAGGCCACTTTACCAATCCTTTTCAAGATTCGGTAAGGGCCTACATATCTGGGACTGAGCTTCCCTTTTTTGCCAAATCTCATCACTCCCTTCATGGGTGACACTTTCAGGAAAACCTAATCATCAACTTGGAACTCTAGTTCCCTTCTTCTCACATCTGCATAAGACTTCTGGCGACTTTGAGCAGTCTTAAGTCTATCTCTAATGAGTTGTACTTTCTCCATAGCATCAAGGACCGAATCTGGTCCTATCAAGGCTGCTTCACCTACTTCAAACCAACCAACTGGAGATCTACATCTACGCCCATATAATGGCTCATAAGGGGCCATCTGAATGCTGGAATGGTAACTATTGTTGTAGGCGAACTCAATCAGAGGAAGGTGATCATCCCAACTACCCTTGAAGTCGATCACACAAGCTCTCAACATGTCCTCTAAGGTCTGAATGGTACGCTCTGCCTGACCATCCGTCTGTGGATGAAATGCTGTGCTAAGATTAACCTGAGTACCAAGACCTTTCTGAAATGACTTCCAGAAATGAGATGTAAACTGAGGACCTCTATCTGAGATGATAGACAAAGGAACTCCATGCAACCTCACAATCTCATTTATGTAAAGCTTGGCGTAATCCTCCGCCGAATCTGTAGTCTTGACCGCCAAAAAGCGAGAAGACTTAGTAACCTTATCAACAATCACCCAAATGGAGTCATGTTGTCTGCGAGTACGAGGTAAACCTGTGATGAAGTCCATGTTGATCACTTCCCACTTCCAAGTAGGAATGTCAATCTCTTGAGTCATACCTCCTGGTTTCTGATGTTCTATCTTGACTTGCTGGCAATTGGGGCACTTAGCCACAAAATCTGCTATATCTCTTTTCATACCATTCCACCAATAGACTTCCCGTAGATCACGGTACATCTTAGTGGCGCCTGGATGAATAGAGTATCTGGAATTGTGGGCTTCTGCGAGAATATGCTGTCTCAATTCACCCACATCAGGAACACACAATCTACCTTGATAGCGAAGTACACCATCTCCCCCTTGGGAGAAAACCTCCACTCTCTGATTGTGGACTGCACCCTTAAGTTCAAGCAAGATTGGATCACTATCTTGCTTTTCCTTAACCTCTACTACCAAAGAAGATTCTGCCCCATTCTGAACCGTTACACCACTATCTGATATGCTCATAAGACGAACTCCTAGGCGAGCAAGTCTGTGAACATCCTTTGCTAGCTCTCTTCTTTCTTCCTCAACATGTGCTACACTACCCATGGATAGTCTGCTAAGGGCATCTGCTACTACATTTGCCTTACCCGGATGGTAATGCATGCTCATATCATAATCTTTG